TTAACAAATTTTCAGACAAATGAATGAGTTTCGTTGACCAATACATGGTGTTCATTCCATATTATTTATGGTTTCTCATTGATGAATTTGGATTTGTTATAGAAGATATTAAATCATTTGTAACATTTACTAAACATGATTCTTTCTCAAATTTTGTTACTGAAAAGATGAATACTAGTCAAGAAACAATATTAAATAATGATAAAGTTAAAAATTTATTCCAAAAGATTCAATTAAACATATCATATGGTCAAGACGGTATGAGAACAGACAATTATAACAAAACCAAAATAGTTGATAAGAAAGGTGCTTACAAATCAAATAAATCAGTTTTCCACATCGATACTTTATTGATTTCAAACTCAAAATATATTACAACTGAAAACAATAGTTCATATAAGATTGCAACACCAGTACAATGCGCATTTTTCACTTTAGATAATGCTAAATATTGGTATTTGAATTTTATTTATATTTTCATGAATAAATGCTTGGATCAATCTAGATTCCATTTTGTAGAAGGAGATACTGATTCTATGTACTTTGCGGTGTCTGGAGACATTGAAGATGATAACAAACAGTGTTTCAAACATATTATAATTGATCATGATTTTTATAATAAACATGTTTACAAATGGTTGCCATATTAATTTTATTGTTCTGATGACAAATTTAAACCAGTATTAAACAGTGATGTGGAAAGTATTCAACACAAAAAATGTTAAATGCATCAATTGGAAAACAAGGAGATAGTATTATTGCTTTAGCTTCAAAATGTTATACAACATTTAATAATGACAATATTGATAAACCTATTTCATTAAAAATTAAAGGAGTTAACAAGAAAACAAATAAACATATATGTCCGTCATCATATCTAGAAGTTATTGAAAAAGAAACAACAATTGATGGAACAAACTATCTGCTTCAATATAAGAAAATTTCCAATGTTGATGAAATATTGAGTCTTGAAAAACAATTGAAAAAATGAATAAGAGAATTAAATAAAAATATCGAAGAAGAAGAAGATAATATTATAAAAACATCATATCAAATTCAATTACAAGAACTCAATGAGAAATTAGAATCAAAATTATATTGGAAAGATGTCAAATCATCTGTTTATAAATATGTGAGATTAACTCTTCATAAAACTGCTTTGTCTGGTGTTCATTTGAAAATGCAAGTTCATAATGACAATTTTGAAACGTGTACTCCATTATATATCAAAGACGAAGAATCTGATTTTTATAATATGAATTATGATTCAACATTTTTCAACGAAGATCGTGAAAGAACATTTGACAATAATTTATCATCTGAATATGAAAAATATATAGAAACAGATGAGAATAATGATAAACATGTTGTATACAAGAAGCATATTACTATTAAATACAAGGGTGAATTTGTTGATGATTATGAAACACTCAGTGAAGAAGAATATCAAAAATGGTACAAAGAAAATTCACAATTCACTTATAAACCATATATATCAACAGAACCAACATATCAGTATCTCAAATTTAACACAGATAAAAAGAATTACGATGATGATGAATGTGGTGACGAAAGAATTGATTGTTATGGTACACTAGATAATAGAAAACAAACAGGATCAGTTATTCAAATAAATCATTCAGAAGTTGCTATCATTGATTTTGATATTCATGATAGAATACCAAATCCAAATTATGATGAAAATATTCCTTACAGTTTTGGAAATTCTAAATATCTCTATCCAGATAAACAAGAAGTGAGACAACAAATTATAAATAAATATCATCTTAATAAAGGAATTGTAAAAACAACATCTGGTGGAATCCATTATTACACATATTGTGACCGTATTCCTTGTGAACTCAAAAACAAGTCCAAAGTTGTTGAGATTATTTCAACTGAATTATATGATATTGATGTATTTGTTCCAAAAAAAATGTCTGAAAAGAGTGATGGAAAGATTATGAAATATGGTTCAAAAGCTAAGAATCACAGTGGTCAAATAGGTGTTTATCAACCTATTGACAAATATCAAAATGATGTTGACATTGATACATTTGAAAAAAATACTGTGTAATCTTGATTACTTCTATGGTGTTTACAACATTATGAAATTGGGTGAAACATATGATATACCAATGCCAAAACAGATTATGTACAATGACGAAGAAAGTAATGACGATGATGAAGAAAATGATTACAAAAAAGATAAACTTCAAGATAGAAGTATATTGTCAAAAATAAAATCTTAAATTCATGCTCACAAAAATAAAGGTATCACTTTATTTAAATTATTCACTTGTTTCAACAGATTTGTTAAAGAAGATAGAAAATATTGTTACGATGATTGTTTACAACATATGAATCTATCTAGTAAAGCACAAGATTGTTTCGAAAGTACAAAAGATTCATGCTCTGATAAAAAAATATATTGTACAATTAATCCAAACACAATGTTGAAGAAATATGCCAATATAAAATAAATATTTTAATTTTATTTACATTTATTTTATTTACTATATGTACATTTATTTTTTATCAAATGCCTAAACAATAAGCTATACCAGAATTCAAGAATTTATATGAAACAGTTATTAACTTTGATAGTAAAGAAGAATTTGAAAAATATTATAATAAATACGAAGATGATATAAAAAAGATTCCTACATTTAGTCTTAACATAAAATTCAAAATACCTTGTTATCATATAAATCGTGTTAAAGGTGTAATAACACTGTATAAAAATAAGAATGAAAACATTGATACAAATAATTCTGATAACAATTTCAACATAGAAGATAGATTAGATTTAATAATGGGTCATATTAAAAGTTTGGATAATAAATTAAATACTTTATTGAAATTATTTAATAACCAATAATCGAATTTATTTTTTGTATATAAAAGAACATGACAACAATCATCGACATGATTAACAGTGATATTATTGAATGTAATAACGAAAGTTTTACAAGATCAACATATATGGATATTTCTATTATAATTCGCGATAAAGATGGATATGTAAACATTACTAAAATGGTAAAAGAAATCAATAAATTGACTGGAAAAAAGAAATGTTTGAGACATTATTTGAATACACAAGATTATAACGAATTATTAGAAGCTGTTAAAGTAAATTTAGGGGTGCACGAAAACGGGCGACCCCATTTGGAAGCTACTTATGTGTTAAGAAATGGTTATTTTAATGAAATTCAAGGAACATATGCTAATCCAATTTTAACCAATTCAATTGCTTTTTGATGCGATAAAAGTTATGCTCTTAAAGAAAATGATATTATGAATACTATAAATGATCTTCATAAAACTAACAAGTTAATAAATCCAGAAACAACGATTGATGATACATTTAAAAATTTATAAAAACCATCTCTTCCATATTATGTTAGGAGTAGTTATAGTAGGTCGACTTTTACCGCCAAGATGTTTGTCTAGTTTTTTAAAATTATTTTATAATAAGTTCAAAACATATTTTCAATTTTTTAAAAATATATAATGGTAGAATGTTTTATTAAATATTAACATAATTGTTGTGAACAATAATCAAAAATAATGTCAATTTTATGAAAAATACTTATTAAAACCACTAATGTATGATGTTGAATCCTTATGTGTTTTACACCTATATATGTCAAAAAACCCTAATGAATAGAGTCAAATCCTTTGGGAATATAAATATTGAAAATGGGCATATAAATGAGGATTAATCCTTGGCAAATAATATTAAAGGTGATAGGTGACCTACTATAACTACTCTGGTATATCGATATCATAATCTGAATTTACAGCTTTAATTATTTCATCATGATCAAATATTCTTGTTTCTAGAACGCTAATCAATTTGTTCAAAGCATATTTATCTGTTAAAGGATATGTTTTACACCAACATTCATTAGTTTGGTAATTACATATTACATTTTCATTACTTTGTAGAGTGTTAAGATAATCATTCAAATATTCTTTGAATCTTTCCATTCTTTAAATTTAAATTCTATATCCACATCCAAGATCGACAAATAAGGATTTGTCATCTAAATCATATTTAACATAATCATCAACATCTTTATCATAATCAAGTTTAATTATCCCTTCAGTCATTGTAAGGAAGATAAAAAACCATATTACTATAAATTTACTATAAAACTTAATTACTATAAATTTACCATAAATCTGATCTATAATTAAATTCAAATCTCTGCGTTGGGGCTTCGCCCCTTCAGGTTTTTTCCAAAACCGTCCCCTCGCGATTTAATTAAATTATGATAAAATATAGTTTAAAATGTTGTTCCCCTAATTTAACATAATTTATATACTACTATACATTTTTTTATGTTTTACTATGAAAATTATTCACTGGGTATATATAGCTTTTCAAGCAAACATTACCATATATTTCATTATATTAATATCAATAAAGTATTATTATATATTTTATTATATTAATATCAATTAAATATTATTTATATTATTTATATAAATAAAAAAATTAGTAAATAAGTAAAATTGAATAAATCGAATAAAACTAAGATATGATGATATTGACAGAATTTGAAAAAACAAAAATCCATTGGAACCACAAATAAAAAAGACTATCTTGGCTGCTCAAGGGAGGTTCATTTCAGAATTGTTCAGTTTGCATGTTGCCGGTGGTGATGACTCTGGAGCCTCGGCTGGTGGAGCCAACAAGGGCCAGAAAGGTGCCAAGTTTTTGACTGTGGGATCTAATTACAGAGAACAACTTGATGATCTTATGAAGAAGTTAAGAATGACTACACCACACTTCATATTATATGCATTCTTCCAAATAGACAGAAGAGAAGACGCTACTTCGTTGACTCGACTGTCTTGAAACAATTGAAATGCAATGGTGTCTTAAAAGGTATTAGAATTACTCGTATTCAAACAGAATCATCTACAACGAATTCTTGAAGAGATACTTTTTTCTTGGAACTAACATCAACAAGAAGACTTCAGATGCTATGCCAGTAGTCAAGGATCTCATGAAACTATTTTGTGAGAAGTACAAGAAACAAGCCAAGAGTGAACACTGGCAAATTCAAGTTTGGTAAGACCAAGATTTTCTTCAAAGTTGGTGTTCTTGCTGAAATTGAAGAGAATAGAAAAAACAGAGTCAATGAAATTGTTGGTGGTCTTCATATGTGCGCAAAAGCCATTGCTCAAAGAAAGCTTATTGAACAGAAACTCGATGAACATATTGCCATTACTGTCATTCAAGACACCATTCACACTTGGTACCAATTCAGAAATTGGGTCTGGTTCAGATTATTCCAAAAGGTCCGACCAACACTTAAGAGAAGAAGAGTCGATGAGTGTTAATTCGCAACTAAAGACAAAGAAATTGAAACTTTGAAGAAGAAGATTGCTGAAGAAATTGCAAAGAGAGAAGCCGCCGAGAAGGCAATTTCTGAGATGAAAATCAAGAACGTCGATTTGGAAGCTTTAGTTTAAAAGCTTAAAGAAGATATTGAGCCAAAGAAGGTTTCTCTTGACAAGGCTGATATGAAGTCACGAGAAGACCAAGAACACATTGAGGAACTTCAAGGTGATATAAGAGAGGAAAGGAAGACTTGAGCAAGTTAACCACTGAGTACAAGTAACTTGAAGCTGATAATCAAAGACTTCAAGATGAAATTACTGAACACAGAGCCACTATTGCTAAGAAGGACAGTGTTATCACCGAGTTGAACAAAAACATTGAAGATAAGGAAGGCAAAATTTCTGACTTGAAAAAGAAGCATGAAGCTAAAGAAGACAATTCAAAGGATCTTGAGACACAATTGCACGAGAAGGAAGACAATATTGCCGATTTGGAGAAACAAGTCAAGATGTTGCAAAACACCATTTCTGATGTCAACGCATAGAATGAAAACATTGGAGCTGTTAGAATGATCTTGCCAATACCAAGAATGATTTGAAAAAGACTCAATTGGCTCTTGACGATATTGAGAAGAAACTCGACCAACAAGTTGCTCAGAACAAGAAGGTTTCAGACGAGAGAGATGGGTATAACCAACAATTGCAAGCCGAGAAGAAGAAGACTGCTGCGGACCAATCTGATAGAAGAAAAAAGATGGAAGACCAAGTTAACGCACTTGATGCACAAGTCTCATAATTTAAAGTCCAAGTCAGTGCACCAGCTTCTGTTGCTCAAAAAGAAGAGAAGAACATGTTGAATTCAAGAATTGCTGAAATTCAAGCCCAACTTGATGAAGAAAGACAGAAGGCTGACAGTGCAGATGCTGCAAGAAAAGCTGCTGAGAGCAAATTACAGTAAGTCCAGTTCAACTTAGATGAAGCAAATAACACTAAAGAAAAGTTGACTAAAAAGGCGAATGACTTGACCGTCCAAGTTGATCAACTCACCGACGAGAAGAAGAAGAATGATAATGATTTGGAGGAAATTGACAAGATGATCAACAACTTGAATGCCGAAGTCGACAAGGCACAGAAACAACTTGACACTGCAAATGATGACAAAGATGGCAACGAAGCGATGAAACAGAAATACCAAGACGAATTGAAGAACATTAGAACTGAACTTGATCAAGAAAACAAAGACCATGCCAAGACCCAATTGATTAAAGGAAAGTATGAGAAGGATATCGCTAAAATCATAGTCAGAGCTGAAACCCTTGAAAAGAACGTCCAGATGGCTGAACAAGAGAAGGTCAAGACTGTGAGAGACTATAAGGCTGCTTCCGAAGAATTGATGAGAACAAAGACAGAACTCGACGAAAAACAAGACGAATGCGACAAACTTGAAGACGATATGTCTGAGATGAAGACTGAATTGGAAGCCCTTGAACAAGCTGCTAAGACTTATAAACAGTCGAAGAACACTTACGAAAAGAGAAATTGACTGAGTTGAATGAACAACTTGATCTTGAAAGAACCACTGCTCAACAGACTAAAACCCAGAAGAAGAGCAATACAGACAAACTCAAAGAAGTGAAAACGAATTTGGTGAATATAAGGAACATGTTGATGAATTTATTAACTCGTTGACTGCTCAAAAAGCTGATTCACAGAAGGAACTTGAGAAGGAGAGAGCAATGAAACAAGAAGCCGACAAGGAAACTCAAAGACTTAGAACTAAAGTCACCGATTCAAAAGCTAAATTGGTGGATGCTGGTGCTACTGGAGCTTCTATTGCTAAATCGAAAGCAAAATATGAAACAGAATTGGAAGGAATCGAAACAGAAAAGAAGAAGCACAAAACGCGGCTGCTAAAGCTAAGAAACAAGCTAAACAGTATGCTAGAAAGGTTGAAGAGGCTGGGAGAAAGCTTGCAGAATTCGAACAGAAGGAGTACACAATTAACACTCAAATTGGTAAGACACAAGCGGATTTGAAGAAGACACAACAATCAGTCAGAGATGGCGAATTGAGAATTGTTGAGTTGGAAGACATATCAGAAAGGCTAGTGAAGATCTGACAACAAACAACATGAAGTTGATCGGGTGAGTGAAATTACTTTTGAATCTAAGAACAATTCGATTCAAATAAAACAGAAAAAGACAAGGATAAATAATTATTATATTTTTGTTATAATTTTTTTAATTAAAATCTAGTTTAAATACAAGAGTCTAGTTATTAAAAATATAATATTTTTATTATTGTTTTATAGTTTATTTCAATTAGATGCCTAGAGTCTTTGAAAGATGCCTTTTCAAATAATTTTCATTGAGTGATGGATATTTCCAATGATAAAAAAGATTGTGATGTTCTATTTTTAATAAGGAATTGGAGTTTCGATACAAAATCGATACAAATTGATTTAATCATATTAACTTTATCAGTAAAACCCAAAAATACATTTAAAAGTAGCGATTCATTTCAACAACATCACTGATGCTTTTATTTATTTAAAATAGTCAATTTGCTATATACTTACAATTGTTATATTTTAATTATGTGGAAAAGTCTATTGATCTTTTCTTAGTTTGTTGCTTTAAAAAAATAATTTGTGTTACCAAACTATTAAATTATAATTAATTATATCAACATTTGTGCTATTTATTTTTAGATGAAAATATCAACTTTAATATGATTTTAATATTTTTTACTATAGTTTGTAGTTTGAAAAAACCCATAATAAATAAAATACCAAACTACTTTTCAATTAATATATTTCAGAAAGATACAACGGGACACAAAGAGTAGATATGGCGCAACTGTCGAAACTTGTTGAACCCGGCGAGTTGCGGCGTCGTGAATCCATCTCCAAAAGATACTAGACACAAAGAAAAGATGCCCGAAAAACTAGAAACATCAAAATATCCTCATCAAGTGTTTGTTCCAGTGTTAGGTTTGAAGGGTAAAACCTGTTTTCTTTCAGTCTGTCCGACCCTTCGAAAAGACAGATTTTGTTAAAACTGTGTACATTAATTCATGTTGTGGTGACGTGGCAAATTACAAAAATGACACATTTTTGAGTCAATGTGTTGCAAAGTTTGAAAATGTTAATAAAGGTGACAAAAAAGTCAGTTAAGTTGGAAAACAACAACACTCTATGGTGTAAATTTGTCATTATCAGTCAACTCGTTCTGCTTGGCGGTGTAAGTGGATGGGTCGCAAAAACTTCCATTTTCACCTTTTTTGTACACACGTATATCACAACCATTATTACCAAAACCAAACCCAAAAAGATATTGACTGTCTTGAGGATAAATATAAAATTCGTAATTGGTGCTAATGACACTTTTCTTAAACTTTTTTGAATTCAAAGTGCCGCTTCTCACGAGTGAAAATATGTAAGAACTGCCACTGCTGATAAATTTGTTAACGGCATTAATATTTCCAGTAAACACGCCGCCAAACTTGTTGTGATTTGTGTCTTCTACCAAAAAGCACAAGTTGCTTTTGTTCATGACTTTTGTATCAAACACCGAGGTGTTTTGTGACCAGTTGTCTTTGTCTGAGTCAAACACAACACTCCCAATCTTCATACCCGTCAACTTCTCAAGACCAGCTTTTTCTTCAAGTGTAATGTGTTCGCATTTCATTCTATCTTCATCATGTTGTTTCTTTGAATTGATGAATTTTTCCGATGTCTTTATTTGATCAATTGTATTGTTTTTTTGCTTGTTTGATTCTGTCAATTTCATCTTCAAGTGGTTTTATATCCATTTTACACTTTTCTTCATAAAGTGCTATTCTGATATTGAATATTTCATACAACTTGTCGTTGTCGCTTTCTGTTGAAAATGAAGCCAATTCACTTTTGATTTTATTTGATACGTTATCCAAATCAGTGACGATTTTGTTGAGTAAAGTTGTGATGTTCTTCTTTCTATCAAATACCCCATCAAGTCTGTCGAAGTGTCCCTCTGCATTTTCAATGCGTTGTTCAATATCAAGTGACTTGTCGTCAACAAAGTTGTATTCTCTTTTATTTTTGTTGAGGTCTGACACCGCCTTTGCTGCGTTGGTGCAGAGTGCTGAGAGTGCTGTTAACTCGTTTTCCATTGTATGTTAATAGAGTTTATTTGTTTTTATATTTTATTTTATATAATCTCATTTAAAAACATTATTACCTCATTCATAATGATTTTTTTTCAATTGAAAACCAAAAAAGAAATTATTCAAACCAACATAAAATGATTTTAATTTTAAACAGGGTCTATCACGGAACAGGGAAAAATTTGGAACTTGTCCCAAAAATGCATTTTAAAATGAAAAGGGGTATATTTTATTTGTTTTCATACCAAAAATAAAGTAGTTTAAATAAAATTTATAGTTATGTTTGTTTTTACAATCTTTAAAACCTTTTCTTTACAGATGGTGACTTTTTGCCGCGGTCATTTTTAATGTTAAAACTACAGTTAATAACAAAACTATAAAATATTAAAATGTATAGTATACAAATAAATGGTTCAATAATATAATATTTATATTATATAAAATAAAACTAATAATTATAATTGATAATATTATAAAATATTAGAAATTGTTTAATAACGATCAAACAATAAATTAACTAGTTAAAATAAAATTTTTATTAACTATACTTTTCTTAACATAGTTAAGTGAAATCAACCAGAACAGAGCTGTCACCTTGCGATTACTTGTTAAATTAATTTGTTGATGCTTTTCATCACTTTCAAACATCAAATGATGGTTTAATATACCAAATTAATATAAAAATAGAATGGATTATAACAAAACATTGAATCATGATACTTGGTGTTGTTGATAAATTTAGGTTGTTTTATAAACGTGCAATACTTTGATAGAACAGAAGAGTTATTATTCGTAGGAAAACAAGTGAAACTACTCTGTTCATTATTGATGCATAAACAAAGTGTTTGAAACAAAACTACTGCAATTATCTTCATTCTATTGTTTAGTCTTTTTGTTTGTTTTATCAAAGCTATTATTAAATCATATATTTACTATATTTATGAGTATTTTGTTTAATTGAAAACTGTCAGTCAGTATGTTTGTTGATGTGTTTTAATATAGATCACAATTAAATTATTTTAAATTAACAATCATTATTATAATTATTGATTTTATTAATAAAATGTTAAAGAATATTATATAAAAGTACTATAAAAACAAGTGAGTGAAAAAAATCTGGCTCGTTTTAAATTATAATAAAATATAATATTTATTGTTATATGTTATAAACTATTAAAATATTTCAGAAACAAAACCAAAAAAAGAAAATAATTAT